TTTTTTCGGCTTTCAATCCTCAAATTGACGACCAAACGGAATGGGTGAACCAAGTCGTGGAATAATACTTAAAATATAGCATCAACTATCAGCAAGACGATTGGACCACATATCTGCCGCTAGCCGAGTTTGCATATAACAACACCCTCCATGCGTCGACTCAATACACACCATTCTTTTCCAACTATGGATATCATCCGAAGCTTAATTTATTGAGTCCGTCAACAAATGACAATCCAGCAGCTGAAGGATTTGCAAAACAACTATCAGAGCTTCAAAATATGTTGAAGCTTCAATTACAATCCACTCAAGAATCCTATAAGGCGTCTGCAGATAGATTTCGGAATCAAGTACCTACTTTCAAAATTGGAGATAAAGCATGGCTTCTTCAACGGAATATCTAAACTAAGTGACCATGTGATAAGTTGGACTATTGAAGATTGGGACCATTTATCATCCAGAAGCAAATCAATCCAGTGGCGTATCGTCTGGAATTACCAGCTTCTATGAAGGTACATCCAATCTTTCATGTTTCTCTGTTGGAGCCTTATCGAGAGTCATCTTTTCTTGAAAGAATGCAATGTCCGCCACCTAGTATTGAGATCGAGAACCACGAGGAATACGAGGTTGAAAAGCTACTAGATTCACGGCAAAGGTGGGGCAAGTTGGAGTATCTTGTTCATTGGTGCGGCTACGACATTAATGAGCGAACATGGGAGCCAGCTGAAAATCTCGCCAATGCGTCATCTCTGAGAAGCAATGTTGTTGTTAATCAGTACCAATGCAAGAAAATGAAGATCTGTCGCATAACATCTTCTATGAACTCCAACTATTGTTCACGAGGCAAGTGGTTCATTGGCCCTTGAAGTCAACGTTAGTGGCCCATGCCTTTGACTTCTGACCAAGCATGAACTTCCATGTCGTCATTGTGAAATTGTCCTGCAAACACGCCTTCTGGTTGACCATCGTAAGCAGGTTTGAACTCAAATACAATCACCAATGATCGGTTACTCGATATCCTCCATCGTCGTCGTGGTGTAGGCAATTCTTCATCTCGGGGTCGCCTTTGTGAGCTAGTTGGTTGAGATAATCTGACTGGCATAGTATCTAACTTTTGGCTATCCATATCTGAAGACCAAACTATGGCTTCTTAGTTAGTAGAAGTTGCTTGAGAAGCTTCCTAAATAGGAGTATATATTGGAATCGAGGCTGAAGAGTTCTTCAGTCTCGACAACACATCTCTTGGAGCTCTAGTTCACCTCTCTGGTGTTGTTCTTGTATTCATCTGATTAATCTAGTTCTTGCTAGTTCTTCTTGAACTTCTTGTTAGATCTCAAGTTTGTATTTCTGTGTCCGTGACAGAAATAGAAAAATATTTTATTTTATTTTTAAAAAAAATATATATATATATATATATATATATATATATATATATTGTATATGAAAATTTTTGTATTATGTAAAACTTAGCTTAAGAATGTACTAGTTATTTGACAATAGAAAGGCTTGATCTTACCTTAAAAGTGAGATTTTTCAATCCAAAAAACTATGTATAAGGTGTTTAGAACACCTTGGCAATTGTAAACATTCTAAACAATCTTATCACATTATTTTTTATCTTAAATAAATCTTAATGAAATCACAAGAATCCTTCAAGAAATCTTATAATAAATACTTAAGAAAAAAATAAAAATAAAAATAAAAATAAAAAAATAAAGAAATTCTAATAAAATCTTAATAAAATTTTAATATAATGCTAAAAAAACTCTAAAATTTGTAACCAAAATCTAAATAAATTCTAACAAATTCTAATCAAATCCTAAATATATACATTAAAAAAATTTAAACCTTAATAAGTACTATATTAAATATTGATCTTCATTAAAAAAAATTATAAATTTCAATATAGTAATTAACAATAAGTATACTAAGTTTGAAGAAGATCAAGTATACAAATTTGGAAAAAATGCTCCTGATCCTAATTCACTTGGACCTCAATTACTTTTAATTTGACTATTTAATTGAGCTCAAATTTATAATGTGTTTTTTGTAATTAATCACCCCATTCTTGCAGAGTTACAAATATGATAGTAAATAGTTCTCAAAGTTATATTTTGTCTACCTAAGAATTAATTTATTGATGTTGTATGGAAGTATTAATACTTAATGGGCTCCCTTGAAGTGCAATTAGTTAACACACTTTTTCTTATTTACAATTAGTAAATGTAGCCAATGTAGTTATCAAAAATATTTTACAGATTTTTCGTGCATTCTATCCAACAAAAAAGATAATAATAAAGAAAATAATAATAATAATAATAATAAACCTTGCAAATAATGCATAAGTTTTAAAATCAATCCATGTGCTTGAAGGCATTTAAAGGCTAGTAGACCAAAGACATAAGTTATAAGAGCATCTCCATTGTGCTACATAAAGGAGGTTTTTGTTACAAATTAAATTGTTTAATTTATTCTTAGTAATGAATTATCAAGGTTTTCTTTTCTTTCTCTTCTTTCTTTCTGGTTTGTTCTATTAACTTCACAACAAACAATACTGCTCTTGTATTATTTTATTACTTTATTACAAGAATTAGTTCTCTTAGACTATATGCTTTGTCATGTTGCAAATATGTAGACTATAGTAATCTATCAAAGTTTCAGCTTTGTGAATTTAATGTTTTGCTATTGGATATTAAATTTGTGTGTGTGCAATTTCATAAGTCGTAAGCATTTTGCAAATAAACATGTTTGATTGGTCAAGTAAAATATCAGTTTACAACAATTTAACAAATTTCTGTTCTGTACCGCAACCACCAAAAACCATTTTCTACCTCATCAGTATAAATTGCTAAGGAGAAGTAGTTTTCTCAGGATATATACTTTGCCAAGTGGCAAAAGTGACTAAATTTTTAGCCAATGGTTCACTTTTGCATGGGTGATATTTTGCTATTGGATATTGGGATTTATTCTGGTGCCATTTAAATGGCCCCAATTAATCATTTTTGCAATGTTGTTCCATCACAGACAGATTTGGTTGGTCAAGCGGAATGTTGGTTCACAGCAATTTATCTCTATTTTACATAATCACCACCAAAAACCGTTTCCCACCACTCTTCTGTAAAATTGATCTAATTTTATGCATTGTTCAACTAAAAGATGAATTCTCCTACAAGTTCTTAAAAGGGAGAATGAATTTTGTAGAAGCAAGTTGCATGAAAAAGCCTCTTCACAGGAATTGAATCTAACTTCTATGAAAAAAGAGCAAGACTATGAAAAAAAACGTTTTCCCAATTAAAATTTTCACACTTCTAATTTTGGAATTAGAATTTTTCTTTTAAACAAAACAAAGTATTAATTAGAAGTCTTTAAAAAAAAAAAAAAAAAAAAAAAAAAAAGTATTAATTCGAAGTCTTTCAGGAGCTTCAGCATCAAATTGAGTTTAAATTATTGTAATAAACTATAAAATATGTTATCTACATTCACAGATTAGATGATAATTTAAAACTCAAATCTCAAATCAGCATCTACAAGTATTATATGAATAAAAAGTATTATATATGAACCTAGGCATCTTCAATCTTGTAAACTTCTTTCTTGATTTCTGCCTATTCTGTTAATTGCAGGTCTTTAGGTGTGTCACTTAGCATCCTACAAACTTTATCAAACCATGTTTAATACCATATTCCTCTACACACTACACACAGGTGTCCAAAAAAATTATATATATATATATTTTATCAAGTAACAATACAGATTGTTCATGATGTATATTTTATTACTTACATAGTTTTATATTCTAAAAAAACATAATAAATAAAACAATCAATTCCAACTATAACCGCTTTTGTGATGCCGAAGAAAGTTACTTGGGTACATTGGGAAATGGATTTGGTGGGATATTCTTGCACTTCTCATGCAGAGGATGTCCCTCTAGACAGACATTCATCATAAAGTCCATTCACCAACACCTTGTGCAGCATGCTGTGTTACCCAAGCTCCAACAAAGAGAATTAATACATTATTTCTTTTGTTTTGTTCTTTGTTTTTTTAATATTTCACACATTACATGTGTTGGTAGGGTATATGGGTTAGGGTTTTAGATATACAAGTTAAACTTTAAGCTTAAAGATTAAAGTAAAGAGCTATGGATTTGTATGTACAGGGGGCCAGTTGGGCATGGGGAAAATAGGCAGTTTTGGCCACAACTTTGTCCTAGACAAACATTTATGGACATTCATTAGGGAAGGGCATCCTTTGCAAATGGAACTTAGGGGGATGCTGAGCTCACCCTAAACCCTAAAACCTTGTCGGGAAAGTGATGTAACAAACTCCTAGATAGGAAGATGTGCAAAATGAGGAAGGATTTTTTATTTCTTATTTTATTTTTTGATTTTGACCCAGAAGAAGCCATTCATAATGCTGTAACATGATACTTGAAGAAAGCAACAAGTCAAATAGCGGGACGTGGGAATAGGGTCCAACATAAAAATAAAAATAAAAAACAATAAAGGAGCAAGTTGGAGAAGGTCCTCCTTTTCAACACAAACTCATACAGCATCCAGGCTGACACCTTGTCAGGAAGTGCGCTTTATTCACGTGATAGTTCACATGGTTTCTTATCATCTTTTTGCTTATTAATTATTCATATATATTTCTAATTCTCTTCACATTCTGCATCTTGGCATTTGCAAATAGTTTTTGAACAATGAAAGGAATGGGAGTGAATATTCAAATGCCAGAAGTAGATGTTATCTCATTTAATTTCGTTGTAGATAAATTATGTGTCGATTTACTGATTAAACATAAAACTATTAAACCATTCTGACAAGGCATTTGCAACTTTACATGTTGGAGATTGGTTTTTCAGAGGATATTTCGTTAGAAAGCAATTCCTTAGAGGATTTGAATTAAACGTCTATTTTTCATTTTTGTCTGAACAATTACGCATTGAGCAGCAGACATTGATCTAACTCTATGGTTTATACATAGAAATGCATAAGTAAAATTAAATTTCTGTCCATGCACAGCTCAGATTCTTAAATGCAAGGTAAAGTTACAGCGAATGGATTATTCTTATTTTTGAGTCTGGTCAAGCAAGACTCAGTTTCAAATTCACCTAAAAATTCTGATATAATCTAGTTACGTGCATAGAGTGGTGCTGACTGAGGGCCTTCATAGAATAGACTTGGAAATACTCACCACCGTCACAACTGATTGATAGAAACAATGTAGACAAGGCAAAGACTCAATGTAGTCCAAGTCCTTTTATAGCTCAGTCCCAAATGCACTTGGAGAACTAACATCTGCCTCCCCAGCTCAAATATGGTGACGCGTATAATAGCTTGAGAGACATGGAATGGTTCAAACAGCTCATTTGAACCAGGTCACAGTCCAATTTGCTGGATCCACAGTAGCATGAAATAGCACATAATATATAAACCAAATCTGTTCCTGGAACATTTAGATATTCAACACCGTGAGCACAGGTGGCTGTTAATAACAGTATAAGAACAACAAGGTGTACAACTCAGGATTACAGGTAGTTATGTCTTTCAATAATACATTCTTATGGTGCTTAGTGTGCCGCCGCCGCAGAGCAGAGTAACTGTTTCGTCGTTTTTAGTCATTTAGGTCACATGCCGTAGAATATTGAATGCCAGGTTTAGCATTGGTCTCGGGTGTGATGAGCGGAGAATGCGTCCCCATGACGAAATCTGGAGATCACCATCTATAGTGATTGGTCATGGTGCGTGAGGAGGTGCTGTGTCAATCCTGAGAACTTGTGCTCGGACTACCGACAAAGTATCTGCGCCGGATCTCGCCTCCGCCATTCTTGAAAGTGTCGGTAGTTGTGGCAGCAGATGTAACTGCAAACCTGCAAACGTATCCGTCAAGGACCAAAGAACAAATGAATCAGACCAAGCTAGAACCAGATCTCGTCCTCCGAATTCTCGAAAGTTGTGCGTCGTCACAATAGCTTCTTTGAAGCGATTGTGTGCACACCAAATAAAGAAAGATATCTGCGCACACGAAGAAATGCCTTAGAAATGCAATACGCTCATGCGTCACCAAAATCATATTCAGACTCACGGAAGTATGGTCACGACTGCAAGCGACCGAATGGCCGTGCTCTGTGTAAACTGTTCGAAAGGAGTCGGCTGCTGCGGATGACGCCTCGCCCTACTGAACCCCACCGAGACGGATGAAGGAAGACACAGCGAACAAGAACTCCGGGAAAGATCAGTGTAATGAGATGAACCTTTGTGGGAGATCCTCACATATAACCGTTAAACAGGTCTCCGACAAATATATTGAAGATTGAAGTTAATAACCACCATGACATGATTATTCTCAAATGACGTCATCAAGTTAGAGCAGTGGCCCCACATTACCTCGGCATTCCAAGCTTCAACGTCACTCTAGCAAATTTCCTTGTGGCAAATAAGTTATTTCATTAGCGTGTTTGACTGAGCAGACAAGCTTTTGTGTGGATTATGCATTGTGTCTAGTCTGTCACAATAAGGTGTGGGAGCTGCTAAAGTGACCACATGGGTACAGTCCAGCTTTAGCTCGTGCTTGAAGATGACCACGTCGAGCTGATAGATTGGAAATGGGACATCAAGACATATATCAGTTGCTCTTGGAGCATATCTGCACCAATTTGCACATCTGGCTGTGCTTGCACCTTTTATAGATTTAGAATACCAAACACATGCAAGGTACAACCCAGCAATCAACGAACTGTTTAAGCATGGGAGGAAGCACTTAAAGATCATGTATTATGCACATGACACGAGCCAACACCTATCGAGAATTCTGCAAGAGGATCCTCTACAAAGACTGAGGATAAACAAAGTTGAGTTCATTCCAAGCCGCGGACTTGTCTCGCAGCGCTTCGAGCACCTCGGTTTCCTCGAAACAGTGTCTCGGTCACAAGTGAAATGCTGGCCTGCAAACTGGATCCCAAGCACACGGATTTTCTGAGAGCTTGCCAGTTCACGAAACAGTTTCGCCGCAACGAGTTCCACCGGCAGTGGAATCTGCAGAGCCAGCTTGATCGCGTCGTCTACACCACTTCCTCCAACGCTGATTGTAACTACATCTGAAACTGAAACTTGTCATGGTGGTTTGCTTCCAGCGGCGTTCATCGGCGTCATGTGGGGTCCCTCGAACTGGACACCCAAGGGATGACAAGCCCATGCATGGACTCTGCAAGATATGCATCTTCTGCAGCACATGGGTGTGCAATCGCAGTGTCTGCATCGCACAGATTTGCCGATGCTGATTCAGGATGGGTCGAAGAAGTGCTTGCCGTCCCGTGACAGTCCCCAGCTCTCAAACCATGTTTGAATTCTGGTCCTTGGTGTCACCCAAGAGGCAGCAGGAGCCATGTTTTGCTTCTGTCTTTAGCAACTTATAGTGTCTGATCATTTCTACAGCAAATGGGCATTTCGTTGTATATCTCTAGACTGATCATGCAACATGGTGATGCCCGTAGCTTTCACAACTGGGGATAAGGTGGGGTATAAAATAACATGTGTGGATTCTAAATGGAAGTGTGATGAATATTCATGGCTCGTTGTAACAGCACAAATAGTGTGGTACGAAATTGGTTTACTTTCTGCCATGCCACACACTCACGTCTTGTTTATTTCTACAATAAACAATTAGACCAAGAGCAAATATGTACCAGTACATAAGGAATTTGATATTTGGTATTTTTACTTATAAAAATGAGTATTTTATAGGTGAATTTTTTGTACGATATTTCCATATCTTTAAATTTATGTATTGTAACGAAGAGATTAGTTTTCAGGGGGAGGATCGAACTCCATGATGTGATGACGTTGTGATAAAATACATGATTTCCTGAACGATGAATATAAACTGTATATGGATGAACAAAGGATAGAATAACTTACTTTACATCCAAGTATACGTGGATGATTGGAACGAGGCACCCACGTACAAGGGGGGGGGCACACTAATTATTCACTACAGTATTTGGAACTGGGAACAAGGAACTGTGGTTCCCACCCATGGTGCCTACCCACTTGGGAACTTGGCCCACGTGGCTGACCTCATAAATTAACCAAATCTGTTGCTAATTCTTCCAAAACTTGCCGTAGGGGCCTTGACCACCATTATCATTATGCTAATTACTGTTGTTTATCATTATTTATATGTATATTTTAATACGTGATGGACCATGGAAAGAAATTCAAAGAACGATGGAGTTTTTGGGTGTCTCTGTCTCTTCTACTTTAATTTATTTTCTTTCTTTCTTTTTCAAAATTGAAAAAAGATCGTATCTATCATAATTTGATTTTACAACTCTTCCATCTTGATTTCCATACCTGATAGCAAATAAATTAAATTTTGGCTGAAGAACTATATCAGACTTGATTTAAACCATAATTTACATTCAAATGTTTATGAAGTAGAATTAATCACTTGTACTTGAATACATGTATGTAAATGTATAACATTCAAAATAAAATTTGATGCAGCAATTGAATTATTTCTTTAACATTTATTTGCCAGAAAATGTTTCTGAGATATATCAAAATTTAATGAAGAATGATTTCATGATGTTTTCTTTAAAAAGTAATATTAGCATGTCAGTTCCACATAATGCATAATGTAATGTATTGTATTGATTGATAGTGATTAACTTGGAATTACGTTAAAATGTAAATCATAAAATTTAACATTTTAATAACTGTTCTTTTAGTAATAAGCATAAATTTTTGACTTATATCAATGCTAGTTGTAAACAGCTTATTGAAAGAAGAAAAACTTACATTGGTATATTAAATTAAAAATCATGTTCACTGTAATAAGAACATTTTTTCAATAACAAGATCTCAAATAGGTTTAGGATTAAGTTATAACTATTAGAATCTATTGGATCAAAGCCAAGTTCATTAGAAACTATTTATTACCATTCTTTAATTTCTCAAATTTATTTCAACACTAAGCTAAGTCCTAGTACACATATATTAAAAAAAAAGTGAAAAATTCACACTTTTAATTCTTGTGGTGATGATTTTTGATCAATTGAAACACTTTGGTTTATAAAAGATAATTTCCATATAGTACAGGGTTTCTTGTCTCTTTAAATGATATATTGACTAACTAATAAAATTCACAAGTCATGTTATGACATTGACACAATTCACGATTTTTTTTTTTTAAAAAAAAGATAGTATTCTATTGATCAAATCATTCAATGATTTAATGTTGATCATTAGTTAAGTTCCACCATTTTCACTTCTTTGGTATTAATTTTATAATATTGTTTTTGAAACTTGTTCTTCTGCATGCACCTAACAGTCAGGTTCAATTTTCAAACAGAAACTTGTCACCTCACAAGGTAAAGCATCACTTCAAAGGAACAATTTAAAGATATGGTGCTCAAATAATCTTAAATGACATAATATTTGTGGTACAGCCAGCAAGCACCCAAATTGGAGAAAAGCCAAGAAGTTGGGGACAAATTGGCTCAAACTCCAAATAGACACTAATTTCGAGTGGGAAATTCACTATTCATTTTGAACCACAGACATGGGTACATTACAACATCCCCCTATCTTTCCATTAAAAAAATATCTTTCTCAAATCATGTGAGTAGTCCTTCCACTTCTCAAGATTATTAGTACAAGTACTTTTATGTTACTTTATGTACACCTCCCTGTCTATGTTCAAACAATCACCCACAAACCAGTAATCACCTCATGATAGATGTCACAAATATCTTTGGGCTCATTTCATCTATCAGCACAATACAAGGGGATTTGATTTAATCATTTGATCCAACACTCCAACAAATGGTAAGATTTTTTTAAAAATTTGGGTGATTGTTTGAGACAACTTCTTTTTGATTACCACTTTTTGTGAAATGTCTGAAATGGTACAAAGGCTGTCCCTGCTACCATGCATCAACCTTACTGCAAAAAACATGCACTCCTAGATACTCTTCAAATGTGGCATGATGTTGAACACTTTTGCTTCCCAACACACAATTCCTGTTTAGTCACAAACACTTTCAGTGAAGTAAACCACCCAAATGTCCCAACCCAAATGTCCCAACCCAACAAGCCTTCAGAACAAAACCAGCCAGCCACAGGGGTGGGCAGGAAAGCAAGCACAGGAAATGAAATGGAAGTTGCAAAAGAAGGAGATGGAGGGAAGAAATTAGGGTTTGGGATGGGTGGGGGAGGAGCAGTGGGAGCAGTGCATGGGAAGAATGTGACATTTTTGTGCAGTATGGGTCAGTGCTGGCTGGGTACAGGGGTAGTAGTAGGTCGGCCACAAGAGTAGATGGGCAGGTAGGAAGGAAGACAGAGGGAAAAGGGGCTACAAGGATGGCATGACTAGAGAATGAGAATCACACGTTTGGAAGATCGTCAATGTTGGGAGCAGAGCGTGTGCCAGTGGGTGGGGTGGGGGACACGCCAGGGTGGCCCCCAACATCGTAGCCAGGCAGGCTCCCACTTTGATGCCGATGCACTGATGATGATGACGCACTGCTGAGTTGCATTGTGTGGGGCGAGTTGGAGCGACGAGTCAGAAATCTAGATGCCCGGATTCACTCCCCAATATTGTAATATGCAGTCACGGTGGGTGCAACACAACACAACCCCAGGGCACGACTTGTCAAAAAAATCAGACCTGCAGATGGGTGGGGGGCACCCATAGATCCGTGAGGGAAATCAATCCTGACACCCCGGGTGGACTCCTCCTTGTGAAGCGCACGGAACCATGGGATGTAGGCGGCATTATAGGGTGGCTCTGAGGGACGTGCTGGACATTAGGCAGCAAAGAAAGAAAGTCCGCACTGAGCAGCCATGCACCGTGAGTGCGTTTGTCTAAACTAAGAAATTGGTTAGTGGAGTGTGGGAATAACAAGGAAAGGTCAGACTTCGGGCGCTGTCAAGTGGGATCATCCTGATCCCTAGGACGCCTCAAAGGACACAGCACCCTCAGTCTAGAAAAACAACCATCACCCACCCTGGGATGGCATTACTTTATAATCCACTCTGATTAGTCGGCACTTCACCCATCCGCTCCCCCTGCCCATCGATCTCCTCCCACCGTCACCTACCTTGCATTCTCCTCCACTTTACTTTTCGCTTGGAACATACTGTATCGCTGTTGAACTTCTGTGTCTGCAGTTCCCCTGGCATTGGGTTATTCCCATCACCAAGCATACACCATTCAGGTTGGTTTTCTTCCACTGTTATTTTTTATTATTCTGCTCTGGTTGAAGTCCAACGATATTGTACCAGCTTGGTTGACGTCAGTAACCGTCCAGGCCAGGTTTGTTAGAAGATGCACTGAGGGTTAAAATTCTATCTCGTATATACGTTGTAGCTTAGGCTTCACCTGTGGAGAACGGTGCTCGGTTACTGTTCTGCTGATTACGAGTTTGGAGGTTGACGTTCTCGGGATGGTACTGTTTGTGCCTTGGCCTTGGAAGCTCTTCTAATGTGCTCAAGACCAATTTAGAATGTTATTGAAGTCGGGCTAGTCCCTTCTTCTTCTGCCGCTTCATAGTGGTCAATGCTTTTGCGCTGATGGCACGCACAAGATGATTTGCCTGTAGAGTGAGCATCAGAGGAAAAGTCAACATGACTTGTATTCGGGGGAATAATTTCGGCTAGGACTTGGAGATAAGTGGGAAAAGTGCTTCTGGCGTGCCATCTATTCCGCCTCGAATAGGCGCGGCATGATGATTCGTGATAGTGGATGACGTTGGGAAAGGCGGTAGGAAGCTGATGCAAATTGAATCTCAAGCATGACAGTCTCTTTCTTATATATGTTCTGTTGTCTCTTCCATGGATCATTAAGCTAGTGCTCACTTTCATTGTGTTTTGTTTTTGGTCTGCTCTAATGATTGCAGCATCGATCGTCGGCACACCAGTCGAAAGTGCAACTACGATCTTGTGCCACCATGTCTTGCGGTGGATGTGGCTGCTGCCCCAAGTGCGGATGCCAGGCAACTTGCACGTAAGATCCTGATTTTTTTTATGAATTGCCAACATATTAGACGTTGATGACTCCAACTGTTTGATTCATTGTTTGGTTTTTCTGGCCACCTTCGATCAATGCTGACTGTGTTTTTCTGTGTATCAGTTGCAATCAAAGCATTTGGTTAGATTTCGAGAGCTATGCAGACTTCAGGTAATGTTCAATTGCCTATGCAGTCTCAGATTTTAGTAACCAACTTGCACCTTCAGGGTCCAGTTTATCAAAGAAAAACATGATCTCCACATCAGTTGCCCCAGAATTATCATTGACGTAACCAACGTTAGTTACAGATCGAACGAGTGGAATGTATCAAATACCGCTTCAAACTCAAAAATTCTAGGAAAAAGTGCGAACATAAGAAGTTTCGATCCCAAGTAATATTGAAGGCAAAAAGCTAGACGGAATGAATAATCACCAGCTAAGAATCAATGACTCTTAATTGGCTCCTCCTCCCAAATCTCACCCCGAGTTCTACAACTTACTGTGCAGTGGCGTAACCGGCGCGACCTTCACTGGTGCAGAGATCGATATTTCTTGCGGCAGTTTGCATGCCTCAAGCCAGTCGATTGTTGCCAGTCACGGTGGCAAGTGCGTCAATTGCGGCTGGCATGCACCTGGTACAATCTCAATTGGACAGTTTAATGACTTATTATAGAAACTCCTTACGGGGAACGACAATCTCTCAGTCGTTATATTTATCCGAGCTGTCGTGCTAGAATAACTGTTTTCGGACTGGCAAGCCTGACTGGTTGTTTGATCTTGTCCTTATCAGGGGGTTGTGCGTAGGATCGCAGCCGGAGATGCAACAACGGCACACCCAGAACCCTGTTGCGGGAGCGAATGCGTCACCACCTCCTCGCTGCGGTGCACTTGTTGCAGGAGGGTACCGAAACCCCATCTTAGCCAGACAGACACACATACACACATACACAGACACGAACAAAACACACCTTGAGAAGCGCTAGATCTATTTGTTTTGTTGCAAATAAGCCCCACCTGCGGATTGGAATCTACTGAAGTCCCTTAGACAAGTCAATATGGTGTGAGCATGGTGTTCAAGGGCTAGCCAGTTTGCAGAGAGAAACCCACTCCTTCGAGTAGACTCGCGCATGCTTGACGTCGCTGCTGTGACTCTCGCAGCCTCCTCAAACTCTGTCAAACTCCGAATCTACGAGTAACACTTGTTACATGTTACGTGCATATTGCGCCACAGTTCGACATCCAGATTGCCGTCTTTTCCATATGTAATATACGGAACGTACCGCAAAAAATACCCAGTTCCTCCTCTTTCCCCTTCAGCTCTTATTGTTGATGCTCATCAAATGTTTGAATTATGGTATTGAATACAACACACATGAGTTGTGCAACACAAGTGGCCCACATTGTCCGGCAAAGCATTACCAATTGTGGCTTATTTTACATGCAAAATATATATATATATATAGTTGTTCTCATGTGTGTGTTTATGTGCATGTATTTATGTTTTTTTGATTGTTTGATTTTTTTACTATTGATTAAATTTAATGTCGAATGTTGAATTTTAGTTTTTGGAAATAATACAATTAATTAAACCTAATGTAAAGTGAATAAATCACATGACCTTTACATTTATTAAATTCATAAAAAGCAATTTATCTAAATTTTTTTTCTAACTAATTCTAATATGATTTTTAATTTTTAATTTTTAATGCGATTTTTAAGATTTTTAATACGATTTTTTTTTTAAAAAAAAAACAACAGTTGTATCAAAATATCATTAAAAATACATAATTGATTATTTTATACACCAATAGACAATCCTTAACAAAAAATAAAATAAATAATACAAAAAAACTAAATAATACAAAATACATAACATAATCAAATGGTCACATATAAGTTAAAAAATAACATACAAAGAACAATGTCTAAAATTTTGGATGTAATGCAAAGTTGCAGAAAGAATGTTGGTAGCTAGAGTCCCAATGTGAAAAATTATATAAATCACCTAATTTAGATGTTCTTAGGAAAAAGAAAAAAATAAAAGAAAAAGATTAAAATAAGTAAGTAAATTAACATTTTATTTTGGTGGATAATCATAACTAAAGAATCATACAAAATAATTTAGAGAATCAATTTTAGGATATATATATATATATATAAGTATAGCCAGAGAATAGTAAAAGAAATGAAGAATTTAGATTGCAAGCAAAGTCTCAGCAATCTCTTTACAAATTTGTAGCTTAATTTTTGCCAAAATCAATACAAAATCAATGAGTAATGTGTGTTCAAAAATAGTTCATTAAGAACTTGCGTGTATGTGGTGGGGGTGTGAACAAATCAACAAAGCTGTGGTTGCAAGTCAAAAAAAAAACAAGCCAATCAAGGAGATCAAGAAGAGAAGTTTTAGTGTGTTTGATTATTTAGCTTTGAGTGTGAATTTGGTACCTTTTTAAATAATAAAACTTCTTGGAAGTGGTTTTAAATTTTGGTGTTTGTAAATTTTATTTACTTAGCACAAGCATTTAGATTGCAACTAGAAGTTCTTTCTTGGTTAAAAGAGATTTCTCTTTACAACAACAGTATTATGATTTGTTATTAATTCTAGTAATTGTAATTAAAATGCATTTGTGTTGATTTATATTTAAGTAATATAATTTATTTTTTTAATTATTTAACTTATATCAAAAATAATTAATCTAGATGATATAAAAAAGTAACTATATTTTATTATCAACTTAAAATAGAAGGTTTTTTGTGTGGAGATATTTGTATTAGTGTTTTGTTGCTTTTAGTATTCTTTTACTCTCATCTTTATTTTTGTGTAAATATTTATTAACTAAATTCCTAAATAATTTGATAAATATTTGATATATCTAATATTTTGAAGATCAAAATTAAAGATAATTATTGTCTAATTATTCAATTTTTTTAGTATTATATATTTATAGAAGTAATATAGGTATTTTTTATACCACCTTATTTACATGTTATTATATATTTTTTAATTTATAATCATTTCTCTAATATTTTTTAGAAAGATATTTAAAATTTTTGAGATTTTCCAATTATATAGTAAGTATAAAAACATTAAATTTTGCAACCAACAACACTTAAACAACAACCAATTTTATAAGATAATTTATTTTTAATAAAAATGATATATATTCTATAAATAATAATAAATAATATTATAATATAAAATATTAAAAAATCTATTCATTGCTACCTAAACCAAATCAAAGATCAAAAGCCTTAGATATGCTAAAACTTTTGTATTACACTTTTGAGAAAAATAGTGGTCTCTATGAATACTTATGATTCTTATTTGTTTAAATATAACTAATTTTTTTGGTTATTAATAATCATATTTTCAATTCATCTACTTCATTCAAAATACCACTGCAAAGCATCTATTATCTACTTTTTATTTTTTATTAATTAACAGTATTTAAACATACTTGAACCACATTTATATTTATGTAGCATATTAGTAGAAAATAAAACATTATACTAGTATACAATAAAATAAAATAAATTATAATTTTTTTCTGTAATTAATCTTTCAAAAAATAATAATCATTAATAATTAATTAAAATTTTAGAAACTAACTCCGTTCTATGTTGTATAATTAATAATATTTGATTTTTAATAATTAATTGATTTTCATTGACTTTTATTACTTAGTAAGGGCAAGTGACTATAAATGATTAAGCAAAATAAGGCCATAGAGCTACATATCATTAGGCTAGGTAAGGCCACATAACTACTAGGGCAAAAGCAAGTAGCTTAGATTGTAGTGCCTTGGCGATGATGGTTTCTATCTTGCCTTCAATATGCTACCTATGATAATTCATATCTTCTAATAAAGAATAATATTAATTAACAAAAAAAATACTATATTAATGATACTTCGAGTTTATTGTATATATAAGTTTTGATTAAACTATCAAAATTTAAAATACATTTTACTTTTTAGATAAAGATTTATTATAAAAAAAAAGTAATAACAACAATAATCTTTAAATAAGTAATTATTCAGTATTCAATAAGAGAACGACTAATGTATACTTTTTAAATATGCATAAATTAGAATATATAAAATATAATGTTAAAAAAAAATTGTCATAAAAATTCAAAATATCAAATACATCTATGAAAATACACAAAATCAGTGAATGTAGAGAAAATCTTATTATGAAGATTGTAAAGTAGTTTTGTCCTTTTTCCTTGGTAAAAATGAAACTTACCAAATACTCAAATATCAAATCATAATACTAAAATTTTGTAAGGTTCTAAATTTCTGTAAACCGTTTAGTTTTTAAAATTGATATTTGTTCAATCTTTGATGAGTAGAGTTTTCTGAAACACATGTATTGTACCATACGAAGGGAGGTGTGTCTCAATGCAAGTTTGTGTACAAGCCTGTAAACCACAATTTTCAATCATCACAAAACTTCAAAGTATATTTAGTAGAGGACTTAATGAAAAGAGATATGTACTTTAAAACCCTCTATGACTGTCGATTCAATGATATTTGTGGACCAAGCAACACATCGAAGAGCAATTGGGTAAGAATATTTCAGATTTTAGACACTACTGATGCTGGTCAGAGCTGGTTGATAAACTCTGTGCTGATTGCAAGTTATGTCTCCAACGCTTTATGAACTGAGCGTCTTATAATTGCTGGCCACTTTCCTGCTCACTACACACGCAGATGAGGAAAGCTGACATTTCGACCTCTCAATTCATCGCCACAGAAAAGTCTACAGGAGTGAGAAAGAAGCAGAAGATTTCTGATAAACACGTCTTCCTGTGTCAAGTAATCAAGTTTCGAAGGACATCACTTTACTCGCCATGCATCAAAAACTTGTGAACTGCACACGGCAAGAGTGCAAAAATTCCACAAAACTACATGTACAAGCATTTACACTACGACCTCGGAGGTAGGATGTGCTGTCACTGGCATGTTTACTGTAGTTGGAAAGGTCAACCCACTGCACTAGTTTCTTAACATTTTTTCTCATATGGAAATTCATAAGAGTCGTGGTAATGCGGACTTGCAGATCAAACGCAGTCACTATGGTCCGAATACACTAAGGGTAAACTTGGACCGTGAACGATTCAGTGGGCGCAACGTGGCACAGAAGCACTGGAATCAAGTCACAGAGAGCACAGAAACACTGGAATCAATTTGATTTTATGTCACAGAAAGCAAACAACCGATGGTGCCAGGAACAGCTCCGGAATGTTCTGATGTTTCCAGGATGGCTGTCAGGACCCTACATCTACCGTTGATAGGAGAAGCAACCACTTCACAAAGGCCTTGTAAGGTACTTTGGTAGAACCCCAGATGAGTCAAAGAGATCCGACATTTGAAAGGAGTTTAGTAAGGGTGGTGGGAAAGAGGATTCAAGCACTTGTGGAAAGTAGAGAAGAAAATAACGCTTGAAACTTCAAGCGTGGCAGAACTTGTGAAATGTGGCAACTACATAGCTTCTTCATGCCACACAGCATCCAAGGCGGAGAAGAAAAAAACAGCAACGGAGCTATTAAACATCTGCGCTCTTAGATGGACCATTGAGGAAGTGAGATTATGGACTGATCGGACACATATTGGGTACAATATGATACAAAGGGATTGACGGGCTCCGCATCAGATGAACTAAGTTATTTTGAACCAGTAGTATCAGTCACGGCGTCCTAACCTTTCCTGCAGTTGCTGCAGTTCAGCGACGGTTTTGGACAGCTCTTGCACTTGCTGCTGCAGCTGTTTCACGTACTCCACAGCATCATCAAGCATGTCAGCTGTGTTGGTTTGTCGATCCATGCTGGGTACCAGGTCCTGCAGCTTTTTCATCCGCTCACTGATTTTACCCCGCCGCACTCGCTCCGCAATACTTCGGGGGTGAGTGGCGTGTCCACGATTTGCTCTTATGGTCTTCAGAGGCACCGCCGAGGGATCGGCAAATAGGTCGTCAAAGTCTACATTACCACTGAACGGACGGCTTGGCGCAGGCAGACTAGAGTGTCGAATTAAGCCCCCTAACTTTGGTCCCGCCTCGCCAACTCTGGCTGCAGTTCTAAAGGAGTTAGTTCTGGACCAATCAAGTGGTGGTTCCATCGTCACTTCCTCTCCTGTAGGAGGCATGTTACCACCGAGCTTCCCTACAGCGACGTTGAATTGACCAGACCATTAGAGTCCACAATGAGAATTGAATTAACACAACCCACGAGCTGGCAACTCACACAATATCAGCGGGAATTTGATGTTATCATAGATGAGGGAAGAGAAAATCCAGAGTCCGATACCTGGATTTGTAGGGCAATTCCAAAGGCCTCCGGATACTGCAGGTTCTTTGACAAGATAAGTACATTCCTCTGGTGTGTACGTGGATGATTTGGAGTTGTTGGTAGCGCCGTTTTTCTCCGAAGTTGGGCCAGGCATGCTCTCACATTGGGGCAAGAACCCCGGCATCTGAAAAGTTACATCACTACTCTCCTCCATGTTATCCTGAATGGCTGCCAAAAAGTCCGCAGGTGAGCAGCTGCTCTATCAGAGAACACCAAACCTATCTGAAAGTGCAAATCAAACCCACTTTAGAAATTGACACGAATTCCCTGGCTGAGTGATTGTCCTTTTTGCTCTGTTGAGCAGCTAAAGACAATGACAGCAAATCCGTGAAAGAAGCAAAACTATTCTTTAACTGGCATAAATGCGCAGGGACTAACCTGGTAAAGTGAATCCTCCGAGACCATCTTGGCGAATCAGAGACTCCTTAGAGTCAAGTTTTTGAGACTCAGGTGGACGGGACGTGGTGGAGAAATCCGTAAGAGTAGCAATAAACTCCTCATAATCATTCAATTCAGAGCTGGGGAGGATCTTCTCAGTGTCCATCTGCTGAGAACAACGCTCCATGATAGGCGCCAGATTGTCCGCCCAAGTGAGAAGACCATCGCTGTCGGGCAACGGGCTTGAGGCTTGTGGATAGGCACCAGGCTCATTGATAAAATCGTCCAAGCACTGCAAGAAACTGCTGGGAGCAGAATGGTACCGTTGTAGGCCTCCCTGTCTTGAGGTTTTCATATTCTGTGGAGCAATCACGTTGGGACTGAAATTCGTGGCTCTTGTGAGATCGGGCTCTTGTAAGACATCCAAACCCCACTTCTCATCTTTCGGAAATGGCCATTCTGGTATTTGTGCAAGGGACCTGCCCAAACCTTTTCGAGGAAAATTCGTACCCTTGGATGAGCCCAGCTGCTGCCCAGAACCGGAAAGACTCCCCTGCAAAGAGCTAGAGTATGGAAGCAATGCAAACATGTCGTTGGGTAATCTGAAGGGAGAATTGGAAGAGGTCTTGACAGCGGCTAGAGACGAGGGGTCATGATCATCCGACAACATTACAGTGAGCACGTCATCCACTGACCCCATCCCTGTGCAAAGCACTTTATTTGATGAAACCCATTACGTGCCGTGCCCTCCACCTACACCAGTCACATATTTCAATCCAACACACGTTCGTCCTCCACAGCATCTCCTACATCCCTCCACTCACCACTGCCATGCACCTCCCAAAACCCTAGCTGCCTAACCAAACACAGGAATGCAGACATCAAGAGCAAAAATTTAACACCGTAACCAAATCCTTAGAAACAAGTCGTGCAATCCTTTGAATTGTCCCAAAATAAGTGGTCAACTGGGGGGGGGGGATACCAGTTCCTTTCCGATCCAACAATTTGCAAAACTTCAACAACAGTTTCTCGACGTTGCCAGTGAACAACCCAGGAGCTCCCCTTCAAAAGAATATACTATGCCTGCAACATATGCTATCCTTCGTCAAGAAACCCACCGGAGAAAAGTTTCTGCAGCAGAAAATCAAAAATAAAAATCCTTCGCAGTTACAGAGAAGCACACGGATACAACGACAGGAAACACAGCATACTTCACCTGCAAGACTCCGGTGTAATGCCACCCACAGTCCTGAAAACGCACAAGTTGTTACCAGCTCGCGTCTGACCTTGGCCGTGCAGAAAACCACTCCAGTCTAACTAACACCGAAACACCAAAACCTGGTGTGCATGGAGCCAAAATGTGGAACTGATCTAGAGTCTGCAAGGCTCCGAGGTTTGCGATCAGCTCCAGTGGGAGCGGCAGCTCATCGCACGGAGAAAGCCAAGCAGATGAATGGGGCTGAGACTGAGATTCTTCTATTTTGCTTCGCATAGCTTCGGAATCGGCGACCTACAAAGCATCCATGACCAGTTTTTTGCTGTAAGGTTCCTCACGCGGGACCCGGCGGCAATGACGTCACCTCGCAGCATTCTGCGGCCATCCGCGGCAGGTCCACCTGTATTGCGGATTAGATTCGAGGACCATTGGCTCCTCGTGTTCCTCGCGTGTCAGGCGCGGTCATGGGGTCCTCTTCCCAAAGTGCTCACTCACTGTAGGTATATTCTTTGATTCTCTCACGTCATCACCGCTGGTTACAACTGGAAAATAACAATCATCCCCCTTAATATATATATATATATATATACATTTATTTTTGTTTTGTTTTATTTTTCTTTGAAAAACCAAAGTAAACTAGAAGGCTTGTTAAATCGTGCTGCTTCTATAAGTATGGGACTTTCATATAACTTTTTGTATCATGGTCTTTTTTATGGTAGACTTGTAAGTTAAAAATACCTCCTCAATATACTAACTTATGGGGAATTGTTTTTTTTATGAAAAAGTGCCAACTGAACCATTGAAGAATGTTTGTAAAAAAAATGGAAGATAAAACTTGTTGACCAAATCATTGGAAGAAGCTTCCTAAAGAATCTACATAATGCAACTTAGATCTTAAGATTCTTACATGAAGAATTTAAGATTGTATGTTAATAGAAATATGTTTTTGTTTTTTTGTTTTTAAAATTTTGTGCATATGTCCTCAATGTCAGTCTATTGAGTGTATATAAAATCTAAAAATATTTTTTCACTCTAAGTATGAATTTCATAACCTGTATAGTGATATGTAAGTACTCATACAATATTATAATGCACAAATATTAAATTTAACTACTCTCTATAATATATATTAAAAATACTAAAACATACTTTAAAAAAAAATGAAATAATTTTCTTATTTTTTAATAAATTCATCTTAATTAATTTATCAACATGATATTTGTAGATTTGAAGAAAAAAGAACGTGTTATCTAATTACATTGATATTCATTATAACGAAATTCAAAAAAAAAAAAAACTACATTAAACCTTAAAGACGTATCACATACTTATCACAATATTCAATATAGAAAAAATTAATTTCAAAACAAAGACAAAATTGCTAAGCAATTTAATTTAAATTAAAAATAATTAAAGAAAAAAGTAAAAAAGTAAATAGTTAAAATTTAAAAATATAAATTACAATTACATTTGTAAGATTAAAAAAACATACACGCAACAAAAAAAGCAACAACAATCCAAAGCATATACGAACTACAACTTAACTTTACACATGATGAAAATATAATCTCAAACATGTATTGAAACAGACCACTAATATACTACTAAGCAAAAATACCTACGATTCCTTACACATACCCCGAAAAAAGAAAAAAGATATAAGAATAAAAGAAAAGGAAAGAATAAGAGTTTACGAATGAACTACATGCAATAAAAAAAACACAGACAAAAGACACACACATCCGCCCAAAAAACTTCTCATCAAAATATACACTTCTAGATTTGCTAAAAACACACATTCTTACACCTTCCAGCCACAGCAGGCAGCATCACAATTTGCCTTAAACCTGGTGTAGAACGAGCAAAACATGCTCTTAGTTGTTGTTGGGCTTATTTGCAATCTACACTGAAATGGGCGTTCAGTTTCTGTTCAGTTAAAAATGCACTTTCCAGGTCGTACGAAAAGGATAAGAAATGGCTGCAGGAAGACTGTTTCCTGGTCAAGATGTGATAATCCATGCATACAACTTGTGGGTTACTTTTCTCAAACTTGTAACAAGCTTGAACATCAGCAACCTGGGGCCAAATGTGAGGGCAGAGCATGTCAGTCCAATGCTCATGAAGCTTTGCAGAACACCACGCTTTTTCTCTTCAGAAGACTGTAAGTAAATTTACTTATAAGATGACACATCTATATCATGTGAATCTACAGTGGTGTTTTGTAGAATTTGAGTGATTTGGGTTCTCTCTTCGAAGCCCCGCGTGTGCACGTTGTGCCATTTACGCAACAGTTCTTGTACAAATCGTCTCATTCCAGCTTGATTGAATCGTCTCGTTTCAGAGCTTGAATCAGGAGGTGCTGTGCTGCACCATCAATCCGCGTCAAAGCCTCGCCGAAAGACTAGAATTAGAAAAAAGTCGCCTTTGGTACATCTTGGATACGATAAAAAGTGAAGATCCTGGGCACTGTATTCTTATATTTGGTTCTAGTTCTTAACACTCCAACTTTCCGATCTGATTGTGTGTGAACCATGTGGTGGTGGTGGTAGAGCGGGTGGTGTCCTGATCTCTAAACTGTTGCAATCCGTTTCGGAATTGACGCAATCGCAAAACTAAGACGATCTGGACATGGACATCCCCAGGTTGCAACCACAGGAAGGAGTTGGTTCCGGTTTCTGACTTTTAAGTTCATTCGTCAAATCGCATAAACCCCACTGCTCGGGGTGCAAAATTCGAGGCGCTTCTTACCTTTATCGTTTTCTCTTTTCGTTCCAGTTTGTGGCACTGAATTTGGTCCTGTTCACACTCTCATGCGCACAGATTTGGTGGAGTTGGTTCAACACCCAAATGAGCTTTTTGCGTTCTATGGCGGAGCCTGCAGCAAAGCTAAAAGAATGCACTTCCGCACTTTGTCGGGACATGTAGATATTTAAAATATCTGCAAGACTTTTCAAAAGCGCGCGAGCTGTTGGGGAAATTCTTCTCAGCACATGTCTCCGAGTTTAATCCAATATGAGGCGTTAGTTGAACATCAGATTGCTGGTCTGATGCTGTGGTAGAGTAGCGCTGTGAGGAGCGTGTAGTGTTGTGAAACTCTGCTGTAAGACTTGAACTGAAAGCGCAGAAGATCGATAGCCGGGAGTTTGAGACTGCAAGGCTTTCCCTGCTTCAGTAATCGCTTCCCGCTTCACATCTCGTAGCTGACTGCAGGTTTATCGTATTGGGGTTAGTGTATCCGAAACTCAAATTCATGTTGAGCAGGATTTTCTCTAACAACACTGCTGGATGTACAAGTTTGGGAGGATTTCAGATAAATTTTTAGCTCTGCTTGCACTTCTTCCTCCTCTATGCTCCTTCTTCCCACCCTTCTCTAGCTTCACCCTTGACAATACCGCTAGTATGATAACTCAACCAACTTGGGAAGCGCCTCTACATTTTTGTTCCATACGCGATTAGAAAGGCATGAGTCGAAGCTTTTAGAGTATAATTCCCCATTTTTCCTCTTGCAGGACATATCTGGAGCTTGGACTTAGTTTTGTTGTGCCGGACACTGGCTACTTATGGAGGTTGTATTAGTTGCCGGAGCTTGCGTAAATCCAACTTCTCTTAGTAGCGTTGATAGGACATTAAGTGTTCGTTATGAGGCTTCAACCAAATCGTCGGAATGTCACGTTACAGTTCGAAACTCTTCTTTTCTAGGCGGCACATTCTCATCCAAAGGTCTCCTTTCGAACTCTAAGAAATGTCGACGGGTGCCATCAGCTTTGTTGAATTCACATGAGTACAAGAAAAAGAAACTTGAGAAGCTATTTTTGAAGGAGATGGGATCTGATGATGAGAGTGATACAACTGACGAAGACTTATGCCCTATTGAATGTGTGCGTGAGATCACCACGCTCCGTGAGCTGGAGCATATAATCCAAGAATCAAAGAGCGCTGGTGATTTAGTTGTTGTAGATTTCTTCCGGACTTCATGTGGGACTTGCCGATATATCGAAAAAGGGTTCCAGAAGCTCTGCAAAGGAGCTGGGAATGGTGAAGCTTCTGTCGTATTTGTGAAACATAATGTGCGTGTGACTTATCCTGAGAGTTTCTTGACAACTATTCTGATACAGAGTTTGCCTTGCTCTCTTTGATTGACTAGTTGAAAATGGTCGTTCAAAACGGGGTTTGATTACTGCTATTTGACAACATTGTATACATACACACAAACACATACGAGCCCTGCTAATTGACTACTTAACTTTTGAAACGGGGAATTCTCGGGGAAGACTTTCAGTGATCTTGCAACTTCAATCAATACCGCATGCGGCACAACTCAATTTACAGAATTGATAAGCTGACTTCTCTTTACTTGTGCAGGTTGTGAATGAGTACGACGAGCAGTCGGATATAGCAGAGAGGCTTAGAATCAAGGTATGGCTGCAACAACAAGCTGCGTGGGGTCATTGCACTGTGAGACTATAAAGACAATCTGCCAGTCTTTTTAGCCGACTGTGTTCTTGACAATCTATGTTGACCAGCGTTAACGTTTTTCCGGATCGCTCTTATCTACATCATCGCTGATGATCTGACAACCTGAATGTGGCTGCTTGCAGATTGTGCCATTGTTTCATTTCTACAAGAACGGAAACCTTGTGGCGTCCTTCGCAACACGCGACAAAGCTCGGATTCTGCAAACCATCTACAAGCACCTGGATGTCACACAAACAATCGAAGAATGGAGTGACATACACGGACTGGCGTGAGATCCTTCATTTCCTGATTTATTATTATTATTATTATTAAGATTTGTAGTACCATTTTTGCAGTTGTACTGTGATGCGTGACACAATCACACATTTCCGATTTGTCATCAATTTAATCTGAATTTTGCTGTCTTCTCCGACGTAGGAACTGTTTGGCATCAACTGCTGTATCTATTGATGTCATAGCGCAAATAGATTCGAAGGGTCTATGTGTCGTTGGCCTCACTAAGACTGGACTACCACACATTTCCGATTTGTCGAAATTCTTATCATCAGTTTTGGCTTTGTTTTGAGCTCTAGTGACTTACACGACTTCATTCAGTGCTATATCTTTTTGTGTGTCTAGCCTTAATGCATGACTTCTGCTCACGTGAAAGATGCATCATTCAAATTGCAGTCTAGTCCGACTGAAATGGGTCGAAAGAACTCGAAACAAGCAGTCATGCAAATGAGACATTAGCAAGATCAGCTTCGCAACTATAGCAACCTCTCGCAACGAGTTTTGGTGACGAATTTTTTTCCGCAGGAGTGAATGGCAGATTGTGTTGCTTGTCATAGCTGCATGTTTTTTCCGGCTGGAGAAAACGCTCGCAACTCCATAACAGCAGCCAGTACTCTGTGTAAATACTCGTTGACCAGTGTTTTAAATTAGAACCATGCATAGCTACATACAATCTACTTCAGCGGCTATCTGCGCGGCCTTGAGCGCTGATGCTGAAATTGAAATCTTAAAATGCATTGCAATATTATCAATTAAGTGACATTACCCATTATCAAATGAAGGTAATAGATTGAAGAGGATTTTTACCAGGCAGATCTTCTCCTCTGTGTATGAAGAAAACGCTCGCTACATTCAGATTACGTTACATTGTTGCCCAAGATCATGAATCTGCACCGTGATTGCAATTCATTTTGTGAGATGGCGCCGCTAATTAGACTTCTGAACCGGGAAATAAGAGACTGCGTCAATGAACAAACATGTCGCACTCTTTCTTCCAAAACTAAATCTGGAAATATTGGCACATTTGCACTGAGAAGACATCTACGGCGGTCGTAGTGCAGCCGGGGATCCGGAGATGGTAGTATATACTGAATAGTAGAAGAACCCTCTTACCAGAAAATCTGTAAGACGAGTCTGTGGTCCACAAAACTGGTTTTGCAATGAAATTCACTAGAACAGTACAACGAAATTTCCATAGATCTTGTAATGTCCGAGGGCTGCTGTCATCTCGGTGTTGGGGTGCTTCCCGGTGACCAGCACTGAGGAGTGAATGATTGTGTGGTGGTGCTCCGATCAGTAGCATTCGTTGAAAGTATTTAATCCTCACTACAATTTGTGCGTTTTCAGAACTGTTTGCACTTTGGTTTAGAACAGATTATCAAATTCCTTTGGTCTAATTGAGACGCATGGTTTTTGCTCGTTTTTCGGATTGTGTGGTCAGTGGATATGAGCGATAAAAGTTCACCGATGATGAGATTGCTAATCTCAACTTTTTCTCTACTGCATAAAATCTTGCCTTTTATCTACAGGAATAAAAAGGTGGCCTAGAAAAGGTGTGACATCAGATTCCTTGCATCAGACGAATGCACCTGTCCACCACAAACGCCTCTCATCACGAGGGAACTGTGAAACGTCTGGCACATATTTCTTATGCATTTCAGTGACGACATTCTATTTTGCTCTGTTCTTCGCACGCCACTGGTTGCTCTGATTCTCTGATATTGGTCCGAACTTTACAAATTTCTATTCTAAGTTGATTTAGCAGACCTGTGTGCATCAAGAGATTAGTTAGATTTCTCGAACGCTGTTGCACCGAAGCCACTGCTGTAGCTATGGCGCTGGCCTTGCAATTGAGCGCCACCAGTGCTGGTAGCCACACACTTACGACGAGATGCGTTGGAGCAGTGCATAGTGCAAGTAAAATTGGCTATGGGAGCGTTGCGGTCAACGATCGGACCTGTGGAGGAGTTTTGCGGCATCAGGTGGACCAGCTATGGCATGTGAAGGAGGCTGCCTTGGTTAGGGCTGCAAGCGTCGTGCGCAGAAGTGCGGAGTCGCCCTCCGGCAGTGTGGAAGTGGCTGTTGGTGGGATAACCGAGGTCGGCAACGACACGTTCTATCCGTTTTTGAAAGATGCAGGGGAGAAAGTGGTGGTTCTAGACATGTACACCCAATGGTGCGGCCCGTGCAAGCTCATGTTGCCCAAGGTGCTGAAGCTGTCGGAATCTTACACCGACGTGCTGTTTGCAAAGCTGGATTGCAATCAGGAGAACAAGCCTCTTGCGAAGGAGTTGGGTGTGAAAACCGTGCCCACATTCAAGATCTTCAAGAACGCGGAGGTCGTCGGCGAAGTCCGGGGAGCGAAGTACGACGAGCTTGTCAAGGCGATCGAGAGCGCTCGATTGCTCTCGTGAGGAGTATTGCCTCATTCTTCTTGTGCAGATTGAAACTCTTGTTACAAATGTAATTATCTTTTCCCCTATTGTTTTTGGGTGCATAGCCCTCATCTATACATAAATTGTCTAGCGTATTTACTACCCTTTGAGCTTGTGGGTGCGCATGTGCAACATTGTATAACATTACGCTGTGCGTGTCTTTTCACTCCCATGTCCAGATTATCAGAGAGGTCGGTTGTAGGTTTCTTCTGAATGTTGTGTCAAACTTTCGAAGTGATCTGTCTGGAGTAAATTGACCCACCTGGTTGTTTAGATCCTTAATCTTGTCCCCAACGTCTACTTTCCGATCAAATCCTCAGGTTTAGTGTGGTTTTTTGTTGAGAACCGGAGATGTGGAGTATTTTACTCGTTGTCTATCAGACCATGGCCCTGTCTCGGAATATGTGTGGATTACATGCTGAGAATCTCTTCCATTACAAATCCTATGGTGTACTCTAAACGACGATCTGCAGTGTGGTATCTCCCTGCCGGGTTGTGGTTGGGATTTTATATCATTCCAGGTTCACTATCCATGCAACTGACTATGGCTTATATAGACTCTTTTAGATTCACTGAAGGTATGTAGATTGGTCATTTTTCTTCAGTTAGTTTGAGAAAGGCCTTACTACTGCTGCTGCTTCTTCTTCTTCTTCTTCGTGAGGCCTTTCGACACTCGTGTGTGCAGAGATCAGTCCTTTTTTTTTTGGAATCAGAATTTGCCCCTATTTGTTTGTATCGAGGCTTGTAACTTTGCTTGTATCACAATCCTGATAAAATGGACTGCTTACACAGCATCAACAGTGCTTTACTTTATTTCAAACATTTATATATATTTTACTTGTATGTAATTTTTAATTTTATTACGTGAATTTTGTGACAGCACAAGAAAGCCCATCTATTAATTCGTATAAAGTAGTAGTTTTCAAAGAGAATCACAATAAAATTTTGTTTCTAAATTAGTGCTTCTTTCTCTTTTTCTTTTCTAATAAATAATGTTTGTTTTTGTGTAATTGGAAGCCATGAACATGCCCTTTTTATATAGAACATTGTTGTACTTATTTTCTATTAAGTAATATGGGACATAAATTTGCACTAATGAAAGACATGAAAGATAAATGTACTAAATGAAGTGAATAATCTTATATTGGAAGCATTTTGCCACAAATCAATTTTTTGCAGAAATTGGAGAAGTAGACCATAAATTTATTTATCTAAATATTATCTTATTATTAGATACTTCTAAAATTAAACAATCATATCAAATATGGTTATTAAATCCTTATTTCTTCAAGTAGTTCTTTGTTTAAAAATTTGATGGAACTCCTTCATGATATAGCTCTCAAAAGCGATAGTAACTAATTTTATACAATCAATTGTAATAGCTCTTTATTTTTAATAGTATTAAGTGCATGTACTATATTTAAATTTAAATTTTATCGCTTGATAAATTAATGTCAAAATATAAAATATATTTGTGAAAAAAATAATAATTTAAATTAAAGTAGAAATTAAAATATAAAAATATATAAAAAAGAGAAATCCTTTTATTCTAATAATTCATCCAAAGAACTATATATATTTTTAAAAAATTCTTTATATCTTCATATATATATATATATATATATATATTTAAAAAAATTTAAATCCACTTTTATTCTCTACTTAAATTTTAAGTTTTACACCTTTACTATAAAGTTCTTACCTTATTACTCTATTTTGTCAATAATAAAAATAAAAACTTTGGAATTTAAACTTAAAAGATACATGTGATTATAAAAAATTAGTTACTACAACATCTTTGTAATTACTTTCATTCTACTTTATTTAAAATTTATAATTCTTTCTATTTTAAATTTATTTATAATTATAAAATAAGAAATTTAATTAATAATTCATAAAATTTGATAACATCTTTTTTCATTTTTAAGGTTTAAGTTGTTATGAGAATTGCTACAAATAGCAAGCAACAGGCCAATACTTCATTCCAATACTAACATCAATTGAAAAAAAATAATACTTCTTCTACATGTTGTAAGATATTACTTACAAGAAGATAGTTCAATTTGTATGGCAATATATTAAGGAGCATGAATCTTAAGGAATTAAAAAATCAATACACTCTTGTGTCACTTGAAAGGACTAAAAAATTACTTAAGATGGTATAATATTAAATTAAAATGGCTATTGCCAAAGATAAGAAGATTATCAAGTCTTGAAACAAAACAAAGGACTAGAAAGGTGTTAGCAAGAGTAAAGAAGGCTTTACTATTGCCTCCATATATATTATCTAACTAAGAGCTATGTTGTAATGTTCTATAAGACCTCTGATACATGTCCAATTTGTAATATACATGTTTTAACTTGCCAAACAAGTTTTTTATATGTACGCCATATGGTTAGTTTATAATACAAGCTATTTATATATACAATATGTGATTAATTTATTGGCTAAGTATTCAATCTACCAATCACCGATAGATATGTATAAAGATGAAATCATATCTATAAAGCTTCTAAAAAGCTTTTTTATAAGATATTATTAAATTAATTTAATATTACTTATTTCTATATAATTATATTATTTAAGTAATTATTAGAATAAATAAATATGTCCATAACATTATCCCCTTTGCTAGGGATAAGTTTTTGTTATGGACATACACATATAATCCAATAATTACCTATATAAATAGGTAGAAGTAACTAGAAATAGATAAAAGTAAGTTAATTCTATATTATCTTCTGTAGAAGCTTCCTAGAAGCTTTACAAACACTGCTTTGACTTTATAAGTGTCTATAATTGACTTTTTAGATTAGAAAAGTAGTTAACAAGTTGGCCATGTGCCACACATGTTGTTAGCTTGAAGACCAAGTTAATTATGTGGCCCATACATAGAAAAACTTGCCTTGTAAGTCAAGGCATATGTCTTACAAAGTTAACACATATTGGAGGTCCTATAGAACATTGCTATGTAATCTCTACTTAGATAGTATATATAGAGACAAGATTGAAGCCTTCTTCACTCTTTTCAACTTCTTTCTTGCTTTTAGTCTAGTTTCAAGAGTCTTATATTTTTTAATCTTTGACAATAGTCATTCCAATTCTTACTTAAATATACATACTTTCTACTATTTTGTCACTTTTCTTTTGATACAAATTCCACGAGTTTATGTATCTTCTTTAAGTTTGTGTCTTTGACAGATTGACAAGAGTACACTTACAATATCAGAGCTTTGTTTTGTCTTGATTAAGAGTAGATTATCCCTTTTTCATGATAAGACATAAGCATATTAGAAGTTACAGATTACCTTTTTCTAAACTGATATTGTTCTTAGTATTTTCTTTGGCCTCAAGCCCTTTCTTCTATTTCTCTTTAGTGATATTAGATATTTTTTTGATTATTATTATGGCAGAGCTTCTTGAAATAAAGAATGCAATAGCACAAATGCAAGAACAATTGAGGAAGTTGATGCTTGCGATGTATTAACTTAGCTTACCACCACAAGGATTAATAAGAATGGCAGGAAGTGAGGATATAGAGATGATTAGAGGTGCTTCAACATCTACACCAAATCATGTCTATCCATCCATGGTGAAACATCCTTCAAGTATTAGAGAACCAAGAGTTGCTTTGCTCGAGAAGTTTAATGGTACAAGATCTAAATTTCAAAGATTTATCAATCAAGTATAACTTGTGATTGAACTTCAACCTTAAAGCTATCCAACTCTAAGATCGCGAGTTAGATTCATTGATATACTTCTTTCAGGTTCAGCACTATTGTAGTTTTCATCTTTTCTTGAATCACGAGATCGAATATTAGATAATCTGGAGGTATTTTTGGCAGAATTCCAGTCCACGTATGGAGAACATGATGCAGCTCGTGTTGCAACCAATAAGATCCATATTTAGTGATAAGATAATCAATTTGTAATGTTGTATGCTTCACAGTTTTGACAACTTGTAATTGATATCAAGTAGAATGATGCTGCACTTATTAGCCAATTTTTCTATAGATTACAATATGAAGTAAAAAAATTGATGATCAACTTACCTGATCTTCAAACATTGAATCAAACAATTGACTTTATTATAAAATGCGATAATCAATTTTTTAAATTTTGATATGAGAGTTGCTTAAATGAGCCTCAACATTACTACAATTTGATGGCAATACCAACATCTCCTCAATACATACATTTAGAAGTAGAGGATATGTAAATTGATGCGGTATGTTTTAAACCTCTTATTGAGCAAGAAAAAACTTATCACTGTTGAGAAGGATCATACTTATATTGTAGAGAACCTAAACACATTGCTCAATATTATTCAAAGAAGCGATGAAATCATAAAATGAGGAGCACATCTATCAAAGAAGACAATGTGTCAAAAAACAAATATGTTTAGCTACAATAGGGACCATGCAACTAGAATCTTATACAATTTCTAATAAAGGTCCTATCTTCTTCTTAGAACCCTCTCCTTGTTTTATAATAGATGTTTATTAAGGACCTAATAATTATAAAGCCTCCGCTTTAATAGATTCAAGTGCATTAATTTATTTCTTAGATGTAAAATTTGTTAAAAGTCATAAAATATCGTTAGTACAAAAAATCAAACCTGTTCATGTAAAAGTCATAGTTGGTCATCTGTTATCTTCTAGAGATGTTACTCATGAAACACTTCCTATAGATATAATAATAAAAGGTCATAGTAGTTGTGCAATCTTTAATATAATTAGATCTCCCTCTAATCCAATCATTTTAATTTTATCATGGTTAGAAAAGTATAATCTTTACATAGATTGGATTTTTCATATCCTTGACTTTTTTAAAAGCATAATTAAGAGTGAGATTAATCGAGTAGAAAGTCATAAGTCTAGTATAATTAAACATATGTTTGTAGTTGCAAGAGCTTTTTTGCATGGTGTAAAAGAAGAATCACCTTGTGTCATTTACGCCACACTTGTTTCTAATGATGCAAAGACTTTAAGTAGCATTTTGAGCCAATATCAAGAATTTTAAGATGTATTTGAGAAGAAGAATGTAGATACTCTTCTAGAACATCATCCCTATGACTGCTCAATTGACCTTTAAGAAGGAGCACAACTACCATTTAGAGCAATTTATAGTTTATTACAAAATAAATTGGCTAAATTCAAGGAATATATTGAAGAAAATCTAGCCAAGAATTTCACATGCCATTCCAAATCACCAGTAGGAGCTCCAATCTTATTTATGAAGAAGAAAGATGCATTATTGCCGATGTGTGTTGATTATCGAG